TACCTTAGATGACATAATTTTGGGGTTTGGGAGAGACAGACCAACATTTTTCAACATTCTGACACATTTTTCGATAAAATGATTAGTCGACTAATCGAAGAAATAATCGACAGACTAGTCGACAATGAAAATAATCATTAGTTGCAGCCCTACTTGGCTTGAGGGGCTCTTTCCAGAAATCATGATCCGGATGCTAACACACCTTGTTGTGAGCGGTTTCATGTAGGAACCATTCTCTTTCTGCCGAACTACACCTGCCAATCATATCACCACACAAAAAGCCGAGGGGGACACCATGAATGTTTCCATCTCATGCGGTTACGAGTACAAGCCTCTCATCCATAAGTAGATGCACACTTTCTTCTTCATGATATGGTTGGTGGGTGTAGTTCAGTAGAAAGAAAATAGTTCCTTCATCAAACTGCTCACAACAAGTTCTGTATTTTTACCTTGAGTAAGAGGGTCATGATTTCTGGAAAGAGACATTGCTATTGAGTTTTTCAAATGTATTTTTTGCTGCTCTGACACCACAAGCCGAGTGCCATCTAGTTTCATTATATTGGAGAGAAGGCATCTCTACGGCTGATATCTCCAACACAATCTAGATTAATAAATAGCACTACAGGTAACTGAACAATATGTATTTTTGATTGTCCCTGGCTCATACAGCCAGTGTAGGTCAGTATGGTTCTGGTGTAACTTACACTCCCATATAAAACTCTCCACTTCCCCCTGACAAGCTCACTAATGCTGGCTATCCGCCATCAGCCCAGCATCCTAATAGAGCAAAACCAATATAAATGGATGGCAGCAGCTGACAGAGAACCAATTTTGCAGGAGCTTGGTGAACCAAACCAGATCTATCATATCCCTTTTAGTCACTCAAGTTAGCTACGTTACTTCAGCTTAGCATGGAAACAGACAATAATAACTCCATGCTTCATGCGCCTATTATGTCTGACTCCATCGTTTGAGGTATCACATGCCATCTGACTATGCATCAGATGGTGACTTAGCCGAAAACAACAAATGGAAAGCCACATGATTCACTGCAAAAACAACACATCGCGTCCAAAAGGAGGGTTAGTCTGCAACACAAAAACTGGTCGAAACAGATGGGAAATAAACAACTTAACTGCTGTCAAGCGCAGAGCCCGTTTCAAAACTGTAAAGATGCCTTCTAATTCCTAACACAAGTAAGGAAGATCTTTCTTTTACGGGGACACAATAGAGTCTGTATTCTTGGATTTAAGAATCATCAAAGGTACTTTGTGAGCAGATGGTCAGGCTGGGTGGAAGCAATTGCTTTGCAGAAGCCTCATTGCAACTCATGGAAATCTTTGAATAGCTCCCTGCAGTCCCTACCTCAGGTGAATGCTTCCTGTGAGACAGGCTGCTGATTTGCAAATAGATCAGGTGGTAAGAACTGACAGTTCTCTATCACTTCTAATTGTCTCAATATCTGATATCTGTGTATTTACGTAAGATGTTCTCCGGCTGTCTTTCGTGTGTGTGATGTGCATGCTTATGAATGATTAGGTGCGAGCACACCCTGTGCCTGTTTCCTGACAGCAGAGACTTAACCACAGGGAACAGCGACATCTCTCTTAAAGCAATCCAGACGACCCAGAGCTTTTTGGACCAAAGCAACATGCTGAATGTCATTCACCTCATTCTACAAACCGGTTACCACTGAGTTTCCTGCCAGTACTGTACAAAAGAGCCCGCTTGTGTGTGTGAGTACATATCTATGTACATGATCTGTTTGAAATTCATCTTGTGAGTTTCCCGTCGGTTTCTGGTGAATCAGGAGGGTGTAACGAACAACCATTTGCTTTTCCCGGTTTATGAAAAAAAAAAAGGAAGAAGGAACATTGACTCCCCTTGTTTCATTTAACAGAGAAACTTTGTGAGTCATCATGCAAACAGAGAGTGTGTCAGACTGAAGTGCTGCAAATCAGCACGAACAAAGCATTATGTAGTTACAGCCGTTCAATCAACAGGAATGATACGGTCTGTACTTTGATTATGTGGTTACTCAGCCCCAGCTGCGTTTGCACACACAGACACACTCATACATAAATAAACCTCTCACACACTTACATATTTATAAAGGTAAACAGATTTCCACTTAGTTATTGACACTTGCAAACTCGTACAAACTGAATCCAGAATGATTATTACGTCAAGAGATTAATTCATGGTTGATGAGAATGAATAAACCGCAGATGTATTTTAAGCTTACATTTCAGGCGTATCACGTCAAAAAAGGCTCCTTGAGATGTGTGACGAGGTGACAACCACCTTCAGGTATAATTTGTCATCATCTCAAGATGCTTCCAGGAGCATGACGGTGACTTCAGATCAGTGCCAGTGTCAAACCAATACTGTGGAGCTGTGTGAGGAATGAGGTGTGACTCGAGTGACGTTATCAGGTAACAAACTCCGGCAGGAAACGGTGCTCGCAGATGTACCTGATAATTAAGTCGGATATGTTATATGACACACACTGCATACACACACACAGAGAAGGTGACACAAAACAACCACAATCCAATCCCAGAGAGATTTTTGTCTATGTAGGAGTAACCAGGAGAAAGCAGAGTGTCATTTTCTCTAGATACAGAAGTTCCACGTCCTACAAATGCTAGTAATTTCATAGCAGGAAAGGTGTGACCTTCAATGCGGGAGATATAAGAGGAACAGCTACTGAGGATGATGCTGTTATGATACATAAACATCTTGAACTATAATGCACAGCCTCACAAACAAGGCTCTGATATCAAGGCACTGCTGCTCTGATGTGTCCCTGCACTCCAGAGTCAAACGCCTCCATGCCTTAACACCGCAGCCAGCGGGCTGAGCTGCAGTCGCTTTTGTCACCGTAATTTTCGCGAAGCAAGTGGTGCCCCGAAGAGGGTTTGAGTGATGAGCGACAATGAGCCCCTCTTAATGTATTCTCCTCGCATCCGCAACCAACACGCCAGTGTGGCTGCTTTTGTACAGAGAGAGGTAAAAAAAGAAAAAGAAGCTGGCAGTCTGAGACAGGCAGCATAAATGAAGACATAAAAACCATCCCTGCTGTGGGAAAAAAAAACCTGTCTTTCACCCAAGATAAAAAAATGACACTTGTCTCCTATAGGTGGAGATACACTGAAAGAATATAGGGTGCAGTTAAGGGGAAGAAAGCAGGACACCGCTGCCTTACATAACCTGTCTTTCTGATGATCTGTTAATGTGTTTTTGTTTCTGTCTGTTTTCTGTCTCACTGGCAAAATTGCAGTCCCTGTGGAGCTGCGCGAAGAGGGACGCTGAATAAAAGCACCCGTCAAAGGTATCATGCGGTGTAAAAGTGAGAACAGTTGGATATGATGCTATACTGTGATATCGGAGCACAGGAATAACACTGTCTCGAATGCTGTGTGCTATAAGAAGACAGGATTGTGTGACATCTCACCCTAAAACACACACGGCAGGTCATCAGGTCCAGTGCTGTCCCCATTGCTCCAACAGTGCTTTTGACTGTTCAAGTTAAGATGTTGACGTGTGACAAAAGTTTGTGCTTCTCGTCTTTCCTTTCAGTCCAGCGATAGATCTCCAGGTCTGACGCACAAAGTGCTCCAAGTCCAACTCAGCCCACCAAAGGTGTCAACGGGATGGAAAATTAAAAGTCCTTTTGACTTCTGACATGTGAATTCTTTCAATTACATCTCAAAAACTATTCCCGCATTAGTGCAATATCTCACTGCATCCACATCCAGCACTATAATATAGAAAACTTCTCCCACCAGACCCTCCCCTGCCTATGCTGGTGTCCTGTTGCACCTGTGACACCGAAGAGTCAATTACAAAGTTCAGGCTGGTAATGAGGTCTCCAGTTTCCTGATCCTGTGACCAGGGGACAATACAGAGGTCTTGAATCTTTAATGCATTTTCACCGAGCCTGTTGCCCATGTCTGGCATCACTGCCACCGAAAGATCTAGTGAAATACATATTAAAAGTGGAAGGGCACTCAGACAGCACAGATCTTTGCCGAGGCCAAATGCCCTTGATCACAAAGTAAAGACAATAAAACAATTATTAATTATTTATGTATCTGCTGCATGATTTGAATCTGCGCCAAAATGTAATGATTCCTCCTGGGCCTGTGATACACCCTTGCACTAAGTTTCATGTTTAGTCATATGTAATTTTTCCTTAATCCTGCTGACAAACAGGTAAACATGATGATCCGAAAAATTCAAACTCATTGAAACGACAATGAACACGCTTAGGTAGTGAAATGAACATTTAGTTCACGGGCAACAGCTCTGATGGACATTACTGCAGTCAGCATTGCAATGGTACGCCCACTCAAACCTGTCAAAACATGTCATCTGTGACATTGTGTAGTGTGATAAACCGGACATTTTAGAGTGGCCTTTTAGTGACTGTCCCAAGGTACACCTGTGTAGTAATCATGCTGTTCAGCATCTGGTTATACCACACCTGTCAGGTGGATGGATTATCTTGGAAAAGGAGAAGTGCTCACTCATTTTTGAAAATGTATAATTGGAGTAATATTCAAGGGATTTTACTAATATTATTTGGACGTAGCACAATACAAATTGTTGTCTTAAAGATAAAAGGACATGTGAAAAGACATGTGAAGACTTGTGAAGTACAGAGGGACAGAGAGTCATGCTGTCTTCACTTGAGAGCTGCTGTGAATGTCTGCATGATGACACATTCTCCTAGCAAGTAAAAAAACCTTAAGCCATGTTGTACTAAATGATGACATGTACTGTAGCAACCTCTAAGGGATCACCTTCAGTCGTCTGTCGAAGCAAAAACCAAAGGTGGCATTGTTTCACTGCATGTCTGTGAACATGTGCCTGCACTGGTGTATGTGTGAGCATGTGTCGAGGGGAATTCACTTGTTTGGCTATGAGAAGTGTGATTTTTTTTTAGCCAGTCTTTTTAGTGGGAAAAGACAAAGGAAATGAAGGATCAAACTTACAAACTTTCTCTTCAGCTTGCCCTTGCCTGCACGGCTTGGCTTGCTCTCGACCACAGTCCCGGAGCTGTAGTCAGAGCCTATGTCCAGGTGGTCATCTGCTGAGACACTCTTGCGGAGGTAGGCAGCTCGCGCCCGGAAGTGGGAGAACGGTGACTGGGAGCGAGGGCGGGCCTCGGTGCACCCACCATGCTCAGGCTCATCTTCGCCCTCCATGTCATCCTCCAAACGCCACAGCTCCCCTGCAGGAGGTTAGATGAGAGGAACAAAAAGAACAAATGATGACATTAGGAGAGAATAAGGAAGGAAACAAGAGAAGAAGAAATAAAAAGGGAAAAGAAAGGTTTGAGATATGTGAGACAGATTGGACAGATAATGAATAATTATTGCTACAGCGTAATCACTGCAAACTTACTCCGCAAATTGTGGAATGTCATCCCCTGATTGCTTTCATAAAATATTTCCTGAATCTAATCAAGCTTCCTTTTGAGGTGGAATATTTTAAACCCAAACATTATTCTCAGCCTGCCTCCTTAACAACTTGATTATGATTCCATACGCTAGACAGAAATGATGGCTCATGTAAAATGAAGAGGAAGGAACAAATTTGCAGCAACGGTGGCGTGTTTTTCTGCAGACTGACATGATGGCTGGGCTTTCACAGTCGCACAACAGAGATGGATGTGAGCTGTCAAAACGGAGCGCTGCTGCACTAATCACAGCCGACTACCATCACTCTGCATTTGATGTTCGTCAGACACCCTGTCAGCGTCCGATGCCTGGCTAATAGTACTTGTGAAAAACACTTACTGGTCTTTCAGTTACTTACCTGATGCATGCTGGGTAAGCAACTACATACAACTTACATACTTGTACATACAAGTAATTTCCAGTGAAAAAAGCCACGTTAAAGGCTTTTTTTTAGACCATGAATACTGAAGCATGGTCACATGTGATGCTAATAAAGATTTAAACTAAGCCCAGTGGAATGTAAATGTATAAACCATTTTATCAATAAAAAAGCTGAGATATCGAAACCTTGAGCACGGTGTATGAAGCTTCAAATGTCACAGTTGCTAACAGCACTTTTTTGAATATCCAGGAATGTCCTGATCAAGTTTTTTGCTCCCCAATCTGAGTCATTAAATATTTAGTATCTGCAGATACAGAGCCCCAATCCAATACGCTTGCTTTCCTGGATAATGCTCTGCACAGTGCACAAACTTCAAGTACATTGAAGTCAAACTCAATCAAATATATATGCTTGACAATTTAATGTAACTCTGCGCCCAAGCTGTTCCTTTAATGTTTGTTTTTTTTACCAGGTAAAGTGGGCTATAAAATAACCTTCTTGAGGCAATTCTTCTCTGCTTTTAGAAGTATCCTCCCTGAGAGTTACCTGAATGAACTGCATTCTATTGAGTGTTCATTTTCATCATCTGCACATCTTTTGAGCAGATTACATGAATAAATTACTCTGATTGGCTTTTTGCTTTGTTTTTTGCTGCACTTGCAATGGCGTGGTAAGTGTGTCACAAGAGACTCTTACACTGAGCTGAATTGAAATAAGTGCACATTAATGAAGTACTGTGTTTTGTTATCGTTTATGGTGGCTCTATGGTGTGTGGTGTTTTGCCAGGGGCAGGGCTCAGACCCTGGTCTTTCACACACAGGGGAGAAGCACTAGCGCTGCGGTCTGTGAACGTTGTGAAAACACTGGTTTCGCTTAAGGAGCATGCAACCTTGCAACTACTCTGGCCACATGGAGGCTGTCCTGCCCCCCAACTACACTGAAGACCCCACAGATGTTCCCAGCCAGTACAATGTAAAAATGGGGTGTCATGGACAGTGCCCAATGTGAATGCGGAGATCCACTACAAACTGTGGAACACATAATAACCAGCTGCCCCAAACAGCGGCCACCGAATGGCAATCGTGGTCCAATTGACCTGGATGATGAATCACTGGACTGGCTTGCCTCAACGGAGCTGAAGGTCTTAGGACATATGCCAGAAGAAGAACACACACAGAGGAGCTTAGCAGACTTTAGGAGAGACGGACAGAACAGAGAACAGAAATCCCTTGATTGGCCCTGATACCAATGAGTGGGACTGAATTGAGATTGGATTGGGACATCCCTAAATACAACTGTCAATCAATTTAAGACTGACATCAGGTTGTGCTTTTTTTTTCCCCGTTGGATCATAGATTGGTTAACACAGACTAATAATTACAAAAGGATTTTAAAGTTTCAGACAATGTGAGCAAGCAAAATATTTTAGAGCTTTACCCTCCAAGTTTTTTGAGTGACCATCCAATATTTGTATACGGTTTAGTATTGACTTGTAACAACATCTTTTATTAAAAAAATTCTGCAGCAGGTCTTTTGGCAGTGACTGTCTTTGTGAGTTCTTATGAATGATCTTCAGAGTGTGAAATATTACAGTATCAGTTCCACTGTCTGAGCAGCAGCCAAAACGCATCTGGCTCCCAAAGCTGAGCCAAATAACACTGCAACAAAGTGACTAGGGAGCAACTCCCAATGCGAGCTCTGAGGCATACTTGTCACTAATACGGGATGTTGCTTAAATCCGTGAATGAAGTGTAGCTGGGTTATTAAACAACTTGAATTTTTTTTTTTTTTTTTCAAAAAAAGTTTTCTCAGCACTACTGGAGAGATTAAGAGAGAGAGAGAGAGAGAGAGAGAGAGAGAGGGATAGACAGGGAGAGACAGCATCATGGTCGATGACAGTGGTTGCTAGGCAACAAGGGGCAACGTGAGACTGTCTCTCTCGATTTGATATTTGCAACAGAGCAGCAGTAGGGCAAGGGAAAACAGACGAAGAGATAGACGCAGACAGACAATCAGACTCAGACAGGTAATGTGAGGACATAAAATAAAATGTCAAGATTTAACGACATGAGTGTCATTAAGTCTAAAACCATTAGAAGCAGTAAGAGTAAAGATTTATTGGATAAGGACAGCAGGGGCTGGGGGTTGGCTCAATGCTCCTCTACCAAAGTGGGGTTACTGAGGACATAACATTCTCGCAGTTCAAACAAGAGAGAGACTGGGACAGTGAAAGATGAAGTGAGCTGGCGGGAGGAAGGGAGGGGGAGTGTTTGCCAGCCACGACAACATCGCAAAGGCTGGTGTTTTCTTCACCTTGTGAGTCTGCGTATGTCAACATGGCAAAATGTGGTCCTAGAGAGTCCTATTGTAGGTACAACTAACACAGAAGCTAAGTGGTTTTCTGTCTGTCTGTTTGTGCACAGAATTTGAAACTTTAGAGGTGTGTAGTTAAGATCAAAATGAAGCTTGAGTACCAAGATGGGTGTGGTCCGAGCAAGGGGGCACAAAGTAAGACGGTTCGAAGAAGGAAAGGGGACATTGGCTCCCCAACTTTATGCACCTGGCCCCACATTTGTTAGGTTGCACATCGTTGTATCACCGTAACCCCCATTTTCCACATACTCCGTCTGCGCCGCACTCACATGTGGAAACTGTGAAATCACGCGATAAAAAGCACCATTCATTCCCAAAACTCCTGCAATTTCACACCAGGTCTTCTCCTTTCTGTTTGTATCCCTGTAGAAAGGATGTGTGGTGTCATACAAAATACTACGGTTTTCCACTTCATCTATGAGTTACTCCTCGTCCACCTTTCCTCGGACCCTCGCACTGACTGACAAGTTGTGTGACAGGATGTGACGTGATTTTTAAAAAATTGAGAGTTTACAATCTGTAGTCCGCGCAATGTGTTGTATTTTGAAATTTAACGGATGCTGTGTGCGTTTCGTTTCCAGTTTGGTGCAATCTGAGCTTAATGGCTTGACGTGCAATGGACGCGCAGTCTCTGAAAAACAGACCTGGCGTGTATCTCCGACAAAGCGGAGTCCCGTGGCACTTCTGGGACACTCCTGGGACACTCCAGGGACACTGCACAGCGCTTGCTGTGGAAATGAAGCTATTCACTAGAATGGGAGCGTATCTGCTACGCACTGCGCTACGCTACGCTGGCGGAGTATGTGGAATTGGGGGTAAGAGTGATCCCATTACAAGATGGTCTCTGTTTTTATTCTTTTTTTCATGTTTATTTCTTCAGTCTTTAAAGCAGTGGTTCTCAAATGGTGTGGTGCTGCACACTGGTGTGCCATGGGATTCTGTGATAACTACACATTATTATTCCAATACTCAACTGGGCCTGTACAAAGAGTTATGAATAAATTTTTAATTGACTATATGAGTATGTTGTGTGCACCCATTTCCTAATAAAGAGGCAAACTCTACCTAGAAAATGCAATTTAATTTAATTCACCTTCACAGGGACCTATTTCACCTATTTGTCACCATTCACGCAAGAGAATTACAAGTGCGCAACACATCACATTATCTTACATAATGTCCTGTTTAAATGGATGTGATATTGGTGATTTGATGTAATTTTAAAAAGTTTAAAATCAATTCTTGACTCATTCCATTAAGAAATATTTCATGAGTAACAGTTGGTTGTCAATTGTTATTTGATATCAGTAAATAAACACAAATATTTAAGTTGTGATAAGAGTGATGACACACGTTATAGAGGCTTTTGTGCACAGATATAAATGCAAGTGTGTCTTGAAATTTTGGCTTATCCATTAATGGGTTGCCTTGGGCACAAATAGTTTGAAAACCACTGCTTTAAAGATTTACTAGGCAGGATTATTGGTCACTGCTTGCAAACACACTCGCCAGCACTAGTGAAAGTAAAACCCACCCACCCAGGTTCAGATATATGCATTTTTTGGATGCCTCCTATTTATGGTCTGGCACCTGGTCGCTACCGACCTCACCTGAGAGCTGTGGGGGTAGACTTCCATTAACATCCAGAGCACAGAAAATAAGTAGGAAATGAGAAAATACAGGCAGAGGGCAGAGTCTCTGCAGAAAAATTCACTGCCACACACAAGTAAATCTATACATTGTTTTTTAGGAGAATTCTGTGTAGTATAACTTGAATTTGAACCGCTGCATGCTCAAGGAAGTGCCTCATATTCACTGCATCTAAACAAAATGCAAATATGCCCTTAAATTTTTACTATTTTGGGAAGAATTGTTTCCAATAATATTTGGAATAAAATAATATAATGTTCCCACTTGCTCTTGGTGCTTTGGAATGGATGCCGTTTGAAAGATTCACCCTTAGGTTGTGTCATCTGATAATTCCTGGTCTATTTATGGTCAAAATTAACTCTGAGTGACTGTGTTGTTTAACTGCATTGTGAAAACTTTGTGCTTGTCTAAGTTTATTTCGAAGTCGGCACCTCCTGAGTTGCTGCCTGTTTCTGCGAATCCATCAGGACTCTGGTTTACTTCAACTGGCAGACTTTGGCTTATTTTAATAAGTTCCTCTCCTCTGATGTTTACCGTTTCTTTTCTGTCTTTGTAACGGTGCACATTCCTTTTCTCTCAAAAGCTACACAGAGGACAGAGTGCGGTTTCAGGAAGGGGAGGGCCTCCTGCGCCAGCTTCTCTTGTATTAAACATCACAATAAGGATGATAATAACACAGCGTTTTCCCTCATCCCGACGCTTGAAATGTGACAATTCTCATCCATCTGGTGGCGGTGGCGGTGGGGAGCATTTGATCAAGTCGAGTTGGGGGCCGTCAATCAGCAGTGACAGACCACTGTTGACTGTGTGTGTCTGTCAGAGCTTGTGAATGAGGAGAAGGTTGTGTGAGGATGTTTGATGTGACGGCTGTTTAGCTTCCTGACAGTTGTGGTGTCTGTCCGTGTCTTGGACGCAGTGTTAAAGGGCTGGAGAGGAAGATTACTTTACAAATGACCCACTTTGCAGCCTGAGAGCTGCTAGAAGCAGAATCAACTGATGTTTAATCATCCACTGAGAAATTATGAATGCATTAAAACATACTGTATGTAGGTCACTTTTAAAACAGTTTAAAAGCAAACTTGAGCATCTTATATCCTTAAGAAATGCTCAGATGAATATTGGACTAATATTTGGTTCTATTTTTTTATAAACTTAACTTGTGTTCATTCAGAGTTTTTACAGAAAAGCTCCTTTTTGATCTGTATGGTTCAAAGCGTTATACAACAGGTCTCCTTTCACATAAAATCTTCACCTGTAAATGTCTTCATCCTTAAAAAAAAATCCTCATCCATCCATACGATGAAAGCTAACTCTGTCAGCAGGTTACAGCTTCAGGATCCTCCATGACAATTTTCCCTTTCAGGTGAAGGAATTGTGTTTGATTTATAAGCAAGAAGGAGAGCAAGAAAGAGAGAGCGGATATATCTGTCTTGCACATGCTGCTGCAGAGACAGCGAGCAGCCGTGTGCTCTCCGTCAGGTGGGGCAAATATCAAAGGAGCAAAGCGTTTGCGGAAGTTTGAAAGGAAACAGGATAGGTTTGACATCTGAGGCTTTAGTTTAAGCTTTAGTGGCCTCTTTCATCTTGAATCTCCGGCGTGACACACTTATCTGATCGATAGTTCAAGAGGCGCACACATTATGCGTTAAGAGGTCAGAGAAGCTGTCTCCCAGAAACCGATGACGTCAAACAGCGCTGGTAAGAGCAAGACATTTATTTTATTCAGCCACTTACAGGACTATTGCTATGAAGACATGAAGTGACTGTTGGTGAATGAATGAGAAGCTGCTGCTGAAGCTAAATAGTGCCATTTCCTGCAACATAAGTCAGGCAGAAGCAGTCATTTCTGGATGAAAAGGAATGGTCTGAGCGACAATACCATAATTGTGTGAAGTGCATAGATTTTGGGGGAATTTACTCGGGCTTTGTAAAAGTCGGATTAGAGATTTGTTAGAGACATTATGTGAACAAAGGAGTAAACAAACAAGCCGAGGAGATGAAAGAATCACACAGTCGATTTTACAAAGCCGCCAGGCGCTGGTTTGGTAAACACACTTTCCCTAAACAGTGAGGAAAAATTACTGTAGTTGTTTGCTTCCTTGTTATCTTTACCTGCAGGTGGCAGAGTGCAGGCCTTTGGGTGGCTGGTGGCGGCGGGCAGGTTCTTTCTGCGAGGAGGACTCCCACCAATGAGATCAGAGTGGTGGACCCTGGAGACTGTAGGAGACTGGGGGATGCTGGGGAGGGTGCGGGACTTAGCCAGTATGGGTCTCTGCAGCTTCCTTTCCAGTGACCTGGTTGGACGGTAGAAATAGTCAATTACCCGGAACGTTTTTGTTTCCAGTGATTATCACAATAACAGCCCATAAAAATGTCCATTAAAACTACCCCCAGTAGTGGAAGCACATTAAGGGATCTTTTAATGATCAGTATGAAATGGAGGGATGATTACAGCAAGACAAACCTGTTTCAGTGTTCATGCAGTGACTATTCTAAGACTGCTAACCTGCCCTTTAAGCTATTACTGTGCAATACAATAGCACACACACACTGGTGGTACACACACCCACAGCTTAATGAGCAACGAGAGCGCAGCTGCACTGATCAATAGTGAAATTGCTTCCACCTCGGCATAATCAAGCTGGAGGCCATTTAGAACACAACCGATTGAAACCGCTTTCTTTTATAGCGCTTGATACCACACGGCAGTCCGGCGGGGCACCAATCAATAGCCACAATCACAAGATCGGCTTAATAGCAAATTGGTGACAAGCCACAACACGGTCAAATAATCCCGCGTACATCAATGATGAGACGTGAAGTGGCTTTGTATGTCAGTGTATTTTAAAAGAAGACACAAGTGTGTGTTTTTTAATCCTTATCGAAGGTGCAAATACAGACAACACCCCTTGTTTTACTGCAGTTTCTCAAGCTGAAACAAAAGACTAGATTGCCAGTATTACATTACACTACAACAGATGAACAGATGTGATTAATATTGCATAAAATCATCCCCAAAATCTTTGTGTCTCATGTAAAATAGAACAGAGATAAGACCTGAAAAACAAAAAACAATACTGAGTCACTGCAGTGAATCCCCCTCCGATCAGCCCAATGTGATCAAATTCAGTGAAACGTGGCCAGCATCTCAGACATCAGAGTCAGCCTGGCAGAAGTGGAAGATGTCTGACCTCCAGACTGTTGCGTGACTAGTTTGGGTACAGAACACATGAGGTTGAAAAATCAGCTAAGGACATGCGAGCTGAGCCCCCCCCCCCCCTTCGGGCTGTTGTGTCCTGGCGTTTTCAGTGACATCGAATGAGATTAGAAAATGAATGTCGCAGGCTGATATTGAGATATGAGATTTATTTGTCTCATTTTGATTTTGACACAAGCATCAGTGGCTGATTGGGACACTTTATACAAACAAAGTCATTCAAGTTAATGTACTGACAGAACAGTGTGTACAATTAGCCTACAGCATCATATAGATAATGATGCATGTCTGTCTGTGCATTGTCTGTGTGAATTTTCCAATCTCTCTCTTCATGTGTTTTTGTTCTCTCACATACCACATATTCAGCCCCCTACCATACTTGTGTTTATTGTTAGGCAGAGGCGAGAGTGACGCGATGTAGTCTAAGTGACAAAGTCAGTGTAACATTGTAAGAATATCGAAGAAGCCCTGATAGGTTGAGCAGGAAGTGTGGAGGATGCGTCAAACACAGGACCTTCACCCAGGACGCTGGTGTTTGCATCCCTAAATCAACGCTGGCTTCTCATAATCAGAAGATAGCGTAGTGTACTAGTATTCTAAGCAAGCTTCACTAGTGACATATGTCATGTGTCATATGTGACTTATGTCGCGTTATGTTGACAAAAGTACTTATTTAATGCCGAACCATGATGTTTTTCCTCAACTTAATCATATACTTTTGTTGCCTAACACTAACCAGTTAGTTTTGGAGCAAAACTGCAAACATTTCATGACGTTAAGGACATGTTTAAAACTGCAACCCAATGATTGATCGCCAGCACCCACCTTCATTTTCAAAAACAATGCATGCTTTGCTTTAATTTTAAAGGAATGGTTTAACATTTTGAGAAATTCGCTTTTTTGCCTCAAGTTAGAGGAAAAGATTGACATCTCTCTCATGTCTGTCTATCATATATGAAGCAGGAACTAAAGCCCCATTGCTACCAAGCAGTATAATACGGTATAGTTCAGTTTGGTACACTTTATTCCATTTCCACTGTGAAAAGTTGTGGATGGTACCTATGGAACTGTTCCCTACCATCCCTATTTTTGGTCCCCTCTGTTGGGGTACCTAGCACACAGATCTGGTGTTAAAAGGTGGAGCTGTGAACACTGCAGTCTGTTGATTCGTACCATACGAAAGTGTTTGGTGGAAACGGGGCTTAAGAGACTGTCGTGGCTAGATGGTAACCCTAGACTTCCAAAAACTCTTGTGGGCTGTTTCAAAATATTCTTGTCTTGTCTTGCTGTTTTATGGTGTGACCATGCTGTGGTTAAGGTGTGGTTACTTTAGGCACAAAAAGCACTTGGTTATGGTTAGGTTTAGATAATGGTTTGGGTTAAAATAATCACTTGAAAGATGAAACACAAATTCTCGCAGGAGTTTCTGGGGTTACCATCTAGACATAACCCTACGAGACAATTAGCTTAGCTTAGCATAAAGACAAAAAAGTGGAATTATTACTTTAAAGTCAACTTTTAAAGACATTTCATCAGCCGAAATGCAAAACAAAATCATGATTGCATATAAATGTCTCATACGTGAAAAAAGAGACCATAATGCTGGCAACTGTAGCATTACAAATTCATGCATTTACCCAATGAGAATAATCAAATATCATCAACATTATCTGATGTAAGACAGCCAATTACATTAGCCTTTGATCTATGCATGGGATAATATCTAATCCATTAAATGCTTGACTTTACAATAGCAGATTATCAATCAGTAATTAATTAATGAGAGAATCAAATGATGTGGCATCATTCAGTCGTAAACGCGTCATATATTGAACGGCGGCCTTCTTAGGGGCGTGATTAACATAATTTTCCAGGCAAGTGCTCTTGAGTAAAACTCTAAAATGTGCTTGTGTTTGGTGTGAAATACTTCAGCTCTCTTTTAACTCCCTTGGATGTCTGGCTCAGGATGTATTTTCAGGCTTGGGGCTATTTATCACTTGGGAGCTATCAGGTAAACCGACAGCCAGCTCTAAGTCAGCACATCCGCAGGCTCGAGAAGCAAAGTACTGACATCTGCCCGCTGTCAGCTCGTAAACTACTCCCCTGATAGAGAAGGTGGGTGTTGTAGTTGTGAATATTTGACCTGGGATCAGAGAATCCCTGGATGAGATTCAAAGCGGAGCCATTGAGGAGCCGGGATGGTGTGATGACGAATAATGCTTTTGTATTGCTGTATATCAGAGGAAGAGCTACTGATAGTGGCTATACATGCAGGCATAGCACACACACACACACACACACACACACACACACACACACTCTTTGATAGTAATAGAAACAGGCAGTTCTCTCATTCCGCAGAAATCCATACTGACTTGCATGAAAAAGCATTTGCCTGAAGCACGCACACACATACATACACAAACTCCTCACAGCTGGCATGAGATGAAATAACTCAGGGTCCAGCAGTAAACACATGCGCACACGTACAACCGCACAAACACAGTTGTTGGCCTCCCACCAGCATATCATGATGATAACACACTGGGCTGAACAGCCGGCCCAGGCCACTCTGACAATTTGGGCCTCACTCATCCTACAAACCTGTTGCTAAGCGACTCTGTCTACAAAAAACAGGGGGAGAAGAGAGGAGAGGAAAGGAGAGGAGAGAGGAGAGAGGAGAGAGGAGAGGCTTTTTTTTTTTTTTTGCTTCTGAGCAGTAATCTGCATTTTCACAAAAACAGTGTCTTGCCCTGAGTTGTAAGCATCAAGTGTACCACATGTTTTGTTGTTGCCTAATGTATTATCTCTGCTGCTGCAGTCAGGGGAGACAACTCACTTTCTTTGTTGGAGTCTGTGCATGCAACAGTGTTACAATATGACAGAAAATGAAAAGATGTTTTTTTGTTAAGAATGACACAATGAGGTATTTAAGAGTTGAAAGAGGAGCAAAAGCTAAAGCATTATAGGATGATGATGTGATGGTGATGTGTGAAAATGACTTGCCAAAACAGGATAGTATGTTTTTTTGATGAGGCCCAAATGCTAACATGTTCTGCACTTGTTCTCAAGCACTCCTCCTTTGGCTCTCTTGTTTCTCCCTTCCATCTCTTCCTTGACAATAAGGAAAGCTCAGAAGACTTCTGTTCTCTCTCTCTCTCGCTACAGGCTAAAATACGATTCGCTCTCACTATCGCAAGAGCAGGTTTTTAGTGCAACAGATGTACAGCAATTTGTATTAGTGACCTATTTCATTGCTAAAATTAGCACATGCAAGCCCTTGACTCCTCTCTCTCTCTCAGCTGTGTGATGTGAAGCTGCGACTGTTGAAGTGTTTTCCCAACCCTGACATGAAAACCTATTTCTGAACAGTTCAGCAGAGTAACACATGATGAGTTTATTCCCTCAACCTTGACTCGGGCTGCTGTATAGGTTGCCACATCATTAAAGCTTGACTAAATCTGTCTCCAGCAGCATGATGAACGCTGTACCATAGTGAATACTGTGGTGAGAACTATCCGTGGTGCTGAACAACTTTTAACACACACACACACACACACACACACACACTCCTTTTTACACACACTCCCACGGAGGTTTCGTGAAACAATCTTTGGTACATGAGGCAGAAGATTTTGGTTAACCTATTTTAAGACTGAACACATCCTGAAACAATTCAGAATAATGAGTAGGAGCCTATATACCTTTTTTCCGAATCTAATCTTAACCATTCTCCTGCAGGTCTAATGAATGCACCATTTATTAATGTAATGTTCTTCTGAAGCCAGTTTAACAGCACATGGTTATTCATTCATAAGCCAACCTCACTGCTTGGTAGTGAGCCATTCATTAAAAATCTTATTCAGTATTCATGTGTTCTCACTGGAGGACCAAACAATTCAGGGGGCTCCCTGAGAGGAAATGCCCACTGGGGAGCTCCCCCGAAAACGGAATACCTTCGAGGGCTTTCTTCCTGTTTGCGTTCACACCACCTACGAGAAGTGATGTAAACGATGATGATGAAGTGATGTAAGCCAGCCAGCAATTGGTAGCAACATACAGTTAAACCTAGACTTCAGTCTGTCTATTTCTTTGTTATCTTCCATTTTTTAGGTTACCAGCTGAGTATGTACGTTGAAATACGCACTGCCTGTAAAAGTAATGGACGTAGCTGCCGTGACGTCACCTATTGGTCCATGGCCTCCCGTTTTAAAGTCTCAAGTTCAGGATTTCGGCTGAAGCCATCTTGGTTTTTTATAGCTCGAAGCAACAATATTTGGGCGAGAGGCTGGCACTGTAGACGAGTGGGGGTGGATCTGACAGACAAGCCGAGGACACTGTCGGCATTCTGTCACTCAAAGCAGCCTGCCCTTCGTTATGCATAACTTTAAGCCTTAATAAAATGTAAACAGGACAGTGACAGTCATCTTAATGGGGAAATTAGATACAGAGACCCAAACTGTTTTTGTACCGGGCTGTAAACATGTTTATTTCTGCTGTAACGTTGGACATTTCAGCATGGGTGTCTGTGGGGATTGACTGGCTTTTGGAGCTGGCCTCAAAGAACTATAGCTTTTTGGCACATCCGTGTTGGCTTCATTTTGTCCCCAAGAGGTTGCTGCTTGGAAATAGGAGGTAAAAATGTCCTCCAAAGTGCCGTTCTAAGAGCTACCATAGTTCCTTCGGTACAAACACAACAGAAAGAGAGGGTGCTTAGAACTATAAGGATATAGGATGGATGATGAAAGACTGGCTGGCCACATTTGGCTGTGAGGCAGGAACAGCATTGGTATTTGTTCATTTATAAAGCTTTGATGCAGATATATGTCATCCCTTTTAAATCTCGTTCACAGAATAGGTTGTTGCTTCACACTCCCTAGGAACTAGGAAGAATGTTGTTCTCTTACAGTGTACCTTATACATGGAATAATCTACAGAAGACCTTCAACTTGGGCACTCTGCCACCTTTATGACTGTTTAAATGCCTTATTTCTGTTGTGTTAATGAAGTGTAACTATACATCTACACCATAACATGTTTATTGTGGCTGTATGTCCACTTTAAGCGATCATTTATTGCTATTGTTGTTTTAATTGATATGCATGATGGTTCTTTGTTTGTTTGGTTGACTGTTTTCAATGTCTTTGCTCCTGCTCAGCATCATTGACAATGCGGGTCTCCCTTAATTGATTTCCCGAGGCTTAAATAAAGGTTTGAATGAATGATCAAATGAGGTGAAGTGTAGTATCACAATGCTTATCTTTCTTCTTTTTACTTTAATTCTCATCTGTCTTTTGACACCTCCTTTGTCCTTGTAATCTTTTTCCCACACTACACTCTTTTTGAGTCATTGCCTTCTTCACTTAGGGATTCCTGAATATTCAAAATGTTGAAACCTTCAGATGAAACCACTGATAGCAGTATTTATGTATCTTAGTGCTGAGTAGGGAAGACTTGGATGACTCTCAGGAGGTTGGGAGACACAGGACTGACCCTATGAGGCAAAAGGGTATGACCAGATTAACCTCTGTCTTCATTGTTCAGTGATTCAGTAGACACTGGTCGAGGAGTCACTAGACTGAAAAGACTGAATGAAGCAGCTTTGAGCAGCTCAAGTGACAGGTGGGAGCAAAGGCCAGGCGGCCATTGTGGACTCACAGGCTTATCCTTCTACATTACAGCATGATGGACATTAACTTGTTCATTACAGACTCATTCATCATCACTCATCATTCATTATGGACTAACTGACTGACTTGTCACCATTCATTATTGCCGTATCCCAGATAGAGCGGAATTAGTGCCTACGTTCTGCAAAAAAAAAGTGCTGAAATGACAGTATGAGTAAATTTGCATGTAATAATGATATGCTGTGAATCTGAATGTCCAGTTGGGGGAGATAAAAGGAGAAATTCCACACAGGAATCATTACAGCGAAAGACCTCAAAGGATGTGAATGAGTGAAAATGAGCAGAGCTGGACTGCTGAAAGCAAAGTTATGGAAAATCATGAGGCATTCTCAATCGATGAAAGAAATATGGCAATTCCAACTACATATTTTTTAGCATTTCGACAGCATTTAAGGTAGAATTGTGTGATTTTATTGCACCAAAAATGTGTCCGATTGCAGACAGAATTGCCAACTCGATACAATCGGTTTCCATCTTCAGTCTGACACTGTGTCCACTCTGAACAATTTCCCTGGGACAAAGGGATTTGATTTGCTCTTCCTGGAAGCCAACATATCTGCCTGAATCTAACATCATTTCAAGTCGACACAGGTGTGCAGCAATGCCACCATACTGGTTCTGCCTTGGGCTTAAGAGTGGAGTGGAGGTCTACTTGACTACAACTTGACAATGGCATTCGTCCCACTTGTGGTGCTGACTAGCTAATCATCAGTCTCCCCATAGCGCTCATTGGATCATTGGATGTTTTTATAACCGAGTAACCGCTGTCTCTTGTCACCAGACTAATGACTGAATTTGATGGAGTGGGCAGATTCAAATGTCTGGACCCAGGCAAGCCAAAGATAACTGTGGAAGTTCGTCAGGCTAAAGTCCTAATTAAGACCTTACGAATATCTCAATGAAATCTGGCATGAGGGGAAATGTGAAAGTCATTAATTAATCTCAGTAGAAGGGGGCAGGTGACAATACTGGAGATCATGTTGCACTCTTCTTCCTGATCCTATTTAGTCCGAAAAAGAGAGGTGACAGAGCTCAGCTGTCCAGGCCCAACATTTACAAACAGACTTGTCACAACTCTGATACCCTCAAACCCTTCTGGCTCCTTCTTGATGGATGTCAGAGTACAGAGAGAACAAGCATGAGAGGAAAAAAAGGGCAACAGAGAGGGACAGAGAATGGTTAAAAAAAAAAAAGAAGACAGTGAGAAAACATGGGAAGAGATGGACGGGCGTTGGAAGGGGGTGGCTTGTGAGAAAGAGACAGTGAGTGGGAGAGACAGAGACAAAGAGACTGTGGGGATGAGAGAGATGCTGGATTTGTGATGGCAGGGAATCTGAGCGCTTTTTTTTTTTATCGCACGTCCACCCACGTTAACACTTGTGCTCAGAGTGAATGATATGCAATTTGATGGACATTACAAGTCTAGAGTAGTGGCAGCTTTTTACACTAGCATTCTGATTTGCACTTTCATCCTGGTTATGTAATTTAACATCAGCGCACAGGCAATTTAACCGGCTTCTTGTTCAAGCTTAATGGTTCGCTTTTTAGAAGGACGCTGAAAAAGGAGAAACGCAGGACTCTCAACTCGCCTCCAAAGTTTTTTTTTCTAGCAGTCCAAGCAAAGCAAATTACATTCTCTTTTTGAATTTAGGACGCTAATTGAGGTGCTGTGATACAAAGCAAGAACTTGTTAGAACTTAGCAAAGCCACGCAAATGAAGTCTCCGGTCTGTGTCTCATGAAATTAACTGGGTATAAACAGTGTTGCAGTGGAAGTGAAATTTCGAAATCCATCCGAGGAGACACTTTGTCCTTGCACAGTCCTCCTCGGAGGTGACTCTGATGTGGAAATGTAGGACGAGAGAGGACAGGAGATGACACATTACCACACACACACACTTGAAAAGTAATTTCAAATGTAGCCTCTTAGTAATCAGCAGAGTTGTTAGTGTCACTGGGAAGCTCCCAATGTGAATGTCTTCCTGTCTCTCCCTCTCTACATGCAGCATATCGACTTTTTCCTGTACGTTTCTATCTATAGAAAAGCCTCAGAATCCAATGATGAATCAGTGGGAAGAATCCATAGTAGCCAGCACCATGCCTGACAGCACACATCCACTGCACCTCCACACTTATGTAACATAATGGTTGCTCACACATGCACACTGACACATGCTTACACACACGTACACAAACACCTGTATGCCTGCCAGTCCTGAATGTGTGCACACATGAAGACTCTGATACACTGACTTCTTAAAAACATAACTTAACTTCCTGCAAATATATCTGATGAGTAAATCATAACATTGTGTGTGATGTGCAGTGGAGAATGATAATCTCAAGACACAGCATGTAAACAGGCACATTTTGTTGCACAAAGAAAAACACATAGCGAAGTGATGATGTATTTTTACACCCAAGGAGACAAATGCTCAGTGTGTCATGCCCTGGTGTAGCCTAGAAATACCTGTGCACAGATACAGACGCACATAATCACACACATGGGTTACCTGGCCTCTGCCACAGTGCAGCAGTAACTGCCACTGCGCTGCGAGCTCCTGCCCACCCGCAGCTCCTCTTGAGACTTACGGCGATGAAAGTAGTCTGTGAGTTTCCCAAAACTCGCCATCTTTCCTCCCTCCGCTCACCTCCGCCTCCCTCTCTCCTTTTGCCTTCTTTCCTTTTAATGCCTAAAAAAGAAAAAATGTTTCTGGTTGTGATCTGCAAAGCTCCTCGTCACACGACCCCCCTGTGACTCGTCTGCCTTCCTCTTCCTCTGCTTCTACCTGGATTCTGGTGGCACGGCTCAGCGTCAGCCGCAGGTCCGAGTCTCCCTGCGCACCCTCATCCTCTTGTGCGCGGCACTTAATGTGCAAAAAAAAAAAAAGAAGGAGCCGAACCCCGCTCTGCCTTTCTCTGCCACTCTCCCCTTTCGATCGTTTGCCACGGCGCGCAGAGCGCATACACTGACACTCTCGAAATAGTAACGTTTGTAACTGCCCACCAATCGACACAGCAGGAGCAGTGCCCCCTCACTGGAGAGCAGACAAGAAGGAGGAGAGAGACAGAGAGAGAGGAAGAGAGAAATCGACAGAGAGAGAGAGAGAGAGAGAGAGGGAGGGAGGTGGTGGCTCAGCGTCGGTCTTGGTGGTGGTGGGAGAATATGAGCTGCTATGATGCTTGTATCTAAGCCCACCCCCCTCTTTCTCTCTGTGTCTCTCCCTTGTTATTTTAGCACGTATTGTCTATGCCGCTCTCTCTCTCTCTCTCTTGCTCTCTCTCATGCGTGAATTCTTTCACACGACCGTCTGACTCTCGGTGAGCACACACACAAATCTTCGATCAAAGCTTGAGAGCAGGTGGCAAGGGTTGAGTTTTGTGCGTGTAACACTCTGTCTTTATCTCTCTCTTCTGTTGCTCTCTCCTCTCTCTCTCTGTTTGTCTGTCCCTCTCTCTCACACACACACACACACACACACACACACACACACACAAACAGATTCACAGTGAACCTGAAGTGCACCTGCTCTACTATCATAACTTCCCGTTTTTCTGGCTGTGTCTCTACGAGGGTTGTGTACAAGGATAGCTCTCTTTAACTCTAATTTCATCAATAATGAAAAACAAGCAGAGAGCTTTGGCCACAGTGACCGAGCAGTGGCCCGCTGTGCATTTATCTGAAATCCACTCAGAATATAAAAAGGATGATGGAAGGCAGGAAGGGAACCATGGGGAAGGCAGGAGGGAAGTATGCAAGGATGGAGGAAAAGGAGGGACTGAGGGAGGGCTCTTTGTAAGGAGCTCGTTAGTGAGTGAGTGAGTGAGTGAGTGAGTGAGTGTGTGTGTGTGTGTGTGTGTGGCTCCCTCTCACACATCCATACAGCATACATACAGGCATTCCTCTGTCTATTCGCTGTCTCGCTCTCATCGTGTTTTTTTTTTTACAATAGGTGTTTTCTTCTCTCTCTCTCTGCTTTCACTGTCAAAATCTCTCAGTTGCTTCCTCCATTTACCTCTCCATCCCCTTCAGCTATCTGCTCCTCCTTGCTTTTATCCATCTCCCTCCTTCTGCCTCCCTTTTCTATACCTCCCATCCTCCCTCTCTGCCCCGCTCTCACTCCTTCTCTCTTTTTCGTCTGTTCAAACAGCCAGAGGGTAACTCCTGAAATTATCTGGCTTGTACATCATGCCGACTTGAGAAGAAAGCCCAAATGTGAAATGTATGCACTTGAACTTGCAACAGGTTCTGGTCCTCACACTCACAGACTGTATAAGATAGGTGGACATAGCCTCTGGGTCTGGGTCTAAGTCATTCTTTCGGATGGTCAGCAGGGGGCGACTCCAGTGTTTGCAATCGAAGTCTACGAAAAAATAACGCGTCTTCTCATTTCATTTATTACCCCAGTAAACATTTTCCAAGTAAGTCTAGTGTCTCGAGGGCTAGTTTCATGTCTTCTTCAGTGCCGTATGATATTCATAATATAGTTAATTATGATCTCAGTTAAAGTAGAATAAATAATAAAGTAGGGTTTACTTTAGGGCCTGGCTACCTTGTAATTGACAGGTTGTTAGCATGGCGTTGTCCTCGGACCTACTCCTTGCTCATCAACAGCTCCACCCTCTAGTCCAAATCATAGACTTTAAAAAACTAATGGACATAGCCACCATGACGTCACCCTTTGGTTTGCATACTCTTGTTTTGAAGCCTTGAGTTTAGCATTTTGAATACCGCAATCGTGGATTTGTGGAGCAAGAAGTGATTATATATGGACGAGAGGGTGGGGATAACCCTAGCGCTAGCTGCTTGTTTGGTTTGCATTTAGAATTTACAGTCTACAAATAACTTCAACAACGCTAAAGCTAATGTTCACTAGTGGCAAACAGCTGTAAAAGCCATTACGACAAATTGTACTTATTGGAAAAACTGAAACTTTGACTTCTTACAAAAGTCTTTCAGTACAACCAAACACAAAACAAGACTTTTTTTTGGGTGTCCAAAACTTTACAATTAACTTTAACGAACTGAAAACACACTGTAATAGCGTAAGCTACGGCTACACCTAAATTCTGTGAATCTGGGGTCACACCATGGTTATATTACCGAACCAATACTGTTGCTGTGGTAGCCACTTGTCAACAGACGGCACCCACTTGTCACACAAAGCGGCAACATCCTTAATTATGTAAACTTGAAGCCTAAAAAAATCGAGTGAGTTATAGAAAAATTCACCCCTGTACAGTTGTCATGAATGGGAGAAGCTATACAAATCAAAACCTTTTTTTTGTACCACACTGTATGTTGATTTTGGGAAATTTTAACTCGGGTGTCTATGGGGACTGGGGTGCATATGGACCAAGCCTCAAGTGGCCATTCAAGGAACTGCAGTTTTTGGTGCTGCCTTCATTTTTCAGCCCCGGAGGTTGTTGCCTTGTATGAATATGGACACTTCTAAATTCGAAAACCCAAGATGGTTTCAGCCAGAATGCCAAACTTGAGGCTTTAAAACAGCAGTCCACAAACCAATGGGTGACATACAGTCTATGCATCCACTGCAATTTTCACCATACTTTTAACATTTTGAAATTCAATGAGCTACAGCTTTGATGAAAGTGTCCAGGTTTAGTGGCATCATATGAGGTATTCATTTAACAACTGATCTGGGACACTGCTGGAATGATCGTGTTCAATTGCTGTTCAGCTCACATCCTCTTTATAAACCTCACAAGTAGTAGCCAGGTTAACTCAAACCAATTACACTGAATATAACCAGCATGAATAGCATGAATGTAATGGAACATTTTCCTGATCAAATGATGCTCGACTGTGCCATTAGGGCTGCAACTAACAACTGTGGTCATCATTGATTAATGTGCAGATTATTTTCACAATTAAAAAGCAAAACACATCAAAAAATATAAATAAAACATGAGAAAACAGGAAAAAAAATCTGCATCACATTTTCCTTCAGATGTCTTATTATGTGCAACAGTCAAAATCCAAAATATATGTAATTTATTAAAATGTAATACACAAGAAATTTATAAAATCCTCCATTTGAGGAGCTGGCACCATCAAATGTTTGGCATTTTTGCTTAAGAAATTAAAAAAAAAAAAAGTTGCCAATTAGTAGTTAGTAGTTGCCAGTTGGTAGCTGAACATTGAGCTACATTACAGAACACTCCAGTGATAATCAGATACTGTGTAGACGGGTAAAAAGAATATCAAACAGGATGTAACTGCACTGCCAAGACATAACGTGTTCCAGTTCTACCAAAAGTTGCATTAAAATCAGACTAATTGCACAACAGAAGCATGAAAAAGAATCCGTCTGAGCAGAGATTGAGATTTCGACAATTTACAGACTACGTCTCAGTGTGTTTGTGTGCATCTGTGTGTGTGTGTTCTTTGTCTGTTTGCCATGCTGTGATCCCACGCTGCAGTTATTGTTGTGTGAAAGGTGTGGGCTGTGTAAGCTTTGCAGGTCCCTGTGCCAAAGAGTTCAGCTCATCGATCTGCCTCTCCCGTCTCCCTCCTTCTCGATCAGAATTCTCTTCATTCCCTCCCTCTCTGTCATGATTTGCGCAACCCCTCCTCCGACTGCCCATTGATCTGAGGAGCAGGACGGTCTGACTACATTGCCCTGGAGGCATGGTAATCTTTTGAGTCCCTGCGTATACAAAGAGCAGGGAGATAGTGGAAACAGAGATAAATTAGGCGAACATAGTGTAATATTTACTATTAAAGCCCTCTGCATTCCTCATCCTTGCTGACATTACAATATTATTCTTCAATAAGCCTGCAGTGCTACAGCAGGTGCATACACATTTGCAAAACAGATTAATCAGTATTATGAATGCACATCCTGTGCTGCTGCACTTGAATACTCTGTACCAAAACTAATTCCCGGCATTCATTTTAGATTAATTCGAGAACAATTCTGAAGCGGTATCAACAGCGCCCCATGTTTGCCTTTTTTTTCTACCATATGGCGAACATAATCTGAATACTTGAGATAGCTGTAATTTGTGAACATTTCATTTTTTTCACCACTTAGATGCCTGCAACACTGCTGTTACCCATAACTGCAACAGAGGCGATGAAAGACAGATAAAAAACAAAACTGTTCACTCCATTCGCACTTGACAAAATCAGCCTATGTTTATTAGTTAAAATGATGTTGAAATGATTTCATTATTCCTATGAATCTCATTTCGAAATGCTTTTATCAGTGCTGCAATCCTTGTGCAAAAAGTCTTTCACACCTTTTGGGGGGCAAAAATAAAACTTTGGCTGATAAATGATGTTGCCTGTTTTTAAATAGCTGCAGAGACAGAGAGAAAGTGGAAGAGCTGGGAGACAGAGACAGTTGGAGTTCAGAGGATTGAGGGAGACACAGAGAAAGAGAGTGAATCCTGACATAAAAAAGGATACGGCAGCAATAGAGCGAACAGCGAGCCTCTGAGGGGAATTTATCACCACGGCGAAGAGGAGCTGAGCTCAAAACTATTGACAGCTTGGACTTCTTTTTTGCCTTTAGACTGCATTTGGCTCCAAAATGGTTTTGGCTGATGAATAAATTATGTACTGCTATTTTTCTCTGGGTATTTTCAATCAAACACAAAAAGCATTCCCGCTTCGGCAGGATCGTCTTGGGAGCACAATACTTGAGAGGCCTGAGAATGCTGAGCTAAAAATGGGGCTGGGGATCATGAGCGGACAGTCACTCGTGTGTTAGTATAAATGCTGAATAATTCAATCATGATTTAGATTTAAATAAATAACTATTCATAAGGTATTAATTCAATCAGCTGTCAAAACACACAGTGTGAGGTAGCCACCTGAGTACTGCCACAGCGATTAGATTTTCATTAGCAAACATAAGCTATCATCACAACAAAGAGGTGAGGAAGGACAACATGAAACTGTTAACAGACACATTCACTTCTTCTCCACAGTTTAGTCATTGTGTTTTCACCATGTGTGTCCTGTTTTTACACGTCACCAGCTGGTTTTATTTTCATTCGACAGACAGGAGTTTCACAGGACTGGAGCTGCTGGTGCAGTCACCAGAACGT